TTTTTATAAAAAAGTGACATCGTGTCGCTTTTTCATTTTATACAGTATTTTTTATTTCCTAAAAACTTTTCATATGATTTTTCAAAACATCTCTAATTTGAAGGGTATTTTTGCAAGTACCTCTTTTATTTTTCAGAATAGGCCCATCCAGCAAATCCCTGGCAAGGAAAGGTCCACTACAGTCGAGTCTAGGACAGCCTGACTATCACGGCAGGCTGGCCTATGGCATGGCCTGCGAAGAGTCAGGCTATTAACGGGCCATACTACCCGGGCATGTTTTTAGAGGACAATACATAATCCCTAGTTTTAAAGTTTAAATTTCATAAGTAACAAACTTATTATAATATTGCAAAAATCAGGTGTCAAATAAAATTTATTAAATATTAAAATATAATATAATATACATTAATTATTTTTATCAATGCCACCTCACCTATTACATACTATCATTCTACTACACCACCTTCCCTCCACCTCTTCACCGGAGACGGCCATCAGCTCCGGCAACTGCTCCGACGACTTCACCGACGATTGCTCCGGCGACAACTTTTTCGACAGCCACTCCGACGACTATTCCGGCAGCCACTCCGGCGAACTGAAAATGAGAAGCAATGCCGGAATCAAACTGCTTAAATCTACGTCGGCAGTGACCACTCCAACGCATGCTCCGATCAACCTACCCACCCCATCCACCCATTCCCAACTTTAAAAAAATTTCCAGAATTTCAAGTCACAATCGGTCACAACTGGTTACAACGGGGCACAATTGGTTACAACAAGTCACAATTAACTAGTCACAATCGATCACAAACGGTTACAATCGGTCACAAACAGTCACAACGAACTACCGGGTAGTCAAATCGTGATCTAGTCATAGATTAAAAAAAAAGGTTCGCCGACACTACCAACTCCGATCCAGCACTAGAATTTTCGGCCGTCGAACCACCACCACAATGAACAGAATCGCATCTCTACCATTTTGCAACCCACCAACAACCTCCTTCACCACTAAACAACCAACAACCACTCCCACTTCACCCCCATTTCAGGCTGCCAATCTTTTCTGATTATGAGATTTATGAGTGAAAACAAAAAAGTGGTGGAATGAAACTTGCTATCACCGTTGCAGCCGCAGCAGGGGGCGGATCAACCACGACGACACCGTCGGGAACCACTACTTCTCCACCATCCAGCACCTCCTCCTCACCAACAAAACCATCAACAAAATCACCATTTTCACTATAAATCACAGCCGCTGCACCACGCATACACACTCAACAACACCCCAAAAAACAACCATTGCACCTCCATGACTGGATCTTTGAAACCCTAGAGAAATACCTGACTGGATCTTTCCCCCTGGGAACTTGGGGAAATGTATTAAACCGTCAACCAAAGCGTCCGCCACTTCGAGCTCCAGCTTCGTCGGCGAGGGAAGAAGGAGAAACAGCGACGGAGGAGGAGAAATAGTTTGAGGGTAGAGAGAGAGAGAGAACTGTGAGAGGGGAAAACAGGTTGACGGACTGCAGGTCGCGGCGGCGCTCCTCAAGTTGATGGAGAACAAATTGGGGATGACTATTTCGCGCTAAAGATTTTCTGCTGCAAGTAGAAGACGGAGAGGGAGTGGGAGAGGGAGAGGAGAGAAGTGAGAGACGGTAAAGAGGAAATGAATTTAGGGAGGGTTTGATTTGTGATTATAATCTGCAGGGTTTTAATTATTAATTTAATTAAGACCTGATTTTTTATTAAATAAACATTAAACCGGATTTTTGAAATTGAAAAGTTAAGAGTGTGTTTGGTAGAGATTAAAATCGAATTAAAATTGAAAAACTAGCCGTTATTGTTGACTTTTATTAGACGGGTAGAACCCAATAACGACTATATTTTCAATTTTAATTGAATTTTTAGTATCACCAAACAAGCCCTAAATATCTGGTTTGAGGTAATTTTCTCATGTTTTTATCATCTCTTAGTCAATCCTAATCCTCATCCTCATGCCAGAACCGCATAAACTACAGTGATTCTTTTTCTTTCCCCGTGGTTGGATTGGCATTTTCATACGTATGTTTTTGGCATTAACTTGACCCAGCATTATTTTTTCAAAAAAACTTTTTATCAAAATAATTTCTTCCCTAAGCTGAGGAATTTCGTCGATGAAACCTAAGAAACTTGATATATTCTCATGATTTAGCGCCAATCTACATAGTAGTGGGGGGTTGGGTTTCATCTTTAATGGTCAATGAATCAAAAGGCAAACTTTCGCCGCACCTAGACTTGGTGCTAATTAGCCCCGATACTTGATACCATTACTCCATCTGTCTGAATATTTACATGGTTTGAAAGACATTTTTTCCTTCCCTGTAAGGATGCCTTGTAAGTAGTATTTATCTAAACTCACATTATCTGTCAAAATCACGACAGAAATGGCCACTTTAGAATCTTAATTAATGAAAGAAATCTGCTTTTCCAATATTTACACGCTATTGGATTTTTATGATGTCCTGAACAAATCAGCATTCCATAGAACGATCATGAAAATATAACAATGGCTCAATAATAAATCAAGGAACAATCCACGTAATACAGATTTTTTTGTAAGACGACAACTTTTCTGCAAGGAACCAATTTTTTTTTTTTTTGTGATATCCCTCATTCCTTTTAAGGTTAACTTAGCCTAGGCCAAGGATTTTACCGCTCTATCTGCTGTGACATAGACTCCTTTTGTGTGGAATATGATTCCTTCCCTTCGATGCTCAAACAAGATGTCCCTTTACTACATCTGTTAGAAGTAGAACCCGTACCTTCAAGAATACTGCCAGAACTTTTCGCCTTTGCATCACCACCAAGATAATTTGTCAAGACTCTTTTAACTCCTAAGCCACGATGTGGAGGCTTGTTACAATTTCCACTGAGAAATGGAGTTCTCTCCCCTCTCATAGGGCTTATCAGAGGTGCTGGGCAAAAGTCAGGTGTAGCAAATGCTGACCTGAAGTGAGTGCCTGAGACTGGCACCGAATATGGGATTGAGACCCTTTTATGAGCTATTACACTAACTTTAGGTACTGATGATAGTTTATCAGTCTGCTTGGTCAGGTCATCCACGTAAAGTAGATCATCAATACGTGCCACAATATTGAACGCCAAACTTTCCAAGACCCTTGAGTAGCTCTCCAGAATTGACTTCCCAACATCCTGGAGAATTTCAAAGAAATCAAATCATATCATTGAAAATATAGGGTAAAAGGAAGGCATTTCAATGAATAGAATATTCAGTAGAAGTAAATTGGTAGTTATATACGAACCTTGTTGCACTGTATTTTGCTTGTGTCCAATGTCGTTTGTGTCAGGCCTGGGAACCGTTGCTTCAAGCATAGCAGGAGACTTTCAGCTCTTTCTGCAAGCAATTCCCTCTTATCTCCATCTATCATAAGATCCTTGACCATCTCCCAAGAAGATTTGGCAGTAGAACGGTTAGAATTAGCAGGGGGTCTCTGGTGAAGCCTTCTGCGCCATACATATATTGATCCCTCCACCCTGTTCGCTATCTCCAAAGTAACATGTTCAGATGATAGATCAAGGCAATCAAGCAAGCACTCTGATGAGAAATGTTCTGAAGTGATATACCGATAGATGACATCCCCTAAGCAGGCTCTCCCATTCTAAAATTTAAAAGAGCATTAATGATGTAAATTGACACCATATCATTATACATAGAGGAAAAATAATGTGAATTCCAGCAAATCCCATTTCTATCACAGTATAGCAAAGTAGGAATATTGCCAGAGATTTCATATTAACTATAACTGCAATTATGCCACTGTTTGACACCTGTTTTTGACAAAAAATAAATTCTAGAATAGTGATTGATGGAAGAATGTGCGGTTAAAAAGTAATGAGAATTTTTGAGTTTATGTGTAGTATTATTTTATTGATAGAATGTGTGGTTGAAATGAAGAAAGAGAAAAAAAATGAGAATGAAAAAGAAAAAAAATGGGTGTCAAACAGGGGCTATATAAGCCTTGACAGATATAATCTTGCTTTAGAAGCACAGTACAGATCTTTAGATTTAAAGGAAAAAGTGGCAGGAAAGAGTTTGCATTTTAATTAATGAAGAACTTAAAAGAACTACACGCATAACATCTTGAAGAAAGCGGCATAGTAACTAAGAAGTTTTTTTGTAGGGATAGCAAACATATTAGCAACACACAACTGGTAGCCATAACTGCATGTTAATTTGAAGTGCAATCATCAATATAGTCAAAACTATGAAAACAGAAAGCCTAAATTTGAGGATATCCAACCTTAGGAAGAGTTTCTAAGTACGATTCTGGAACTTCCATCTCAGCCAAGGCATTGCTGTTTATAGCCATTGCAGCTTTAAGAATCTGACTCGTGAATTCGCGTTTGTGATTTAATTGCTTTCTTGTGTTCTCAGGGAGGCCGTCAGAAGGAACGCGTGGTACAGGTAGCCACCATTTATCCTCCTGCCTCTGAATGGATTTTTGAAAGGAGCCTGATCCATCAACCTCTGGTGCTATTATGCCTTGGTCAACGTACCAAAATTCTGTATGGGTAAAACCATCTAGTATTTCCTGAAAGATCAGAACATACTGCTTTAAATGGAGATTCCGACTAGAATGGAAGTGACAAAAAGCAAACAAATATATCCCTTACAAGTAGCAAGTTGTCAAGTTTGCGAAGAGCTGGGAGATTAATAAACAGATCCAATCTTGAACGGCAAGTCATCACCTGAAGATGAAGAGGACAAATGACAGAATGCTTAGACATCAATAATTTTAGAATTAACCTATTTGTACAATTGTTGACAATTGTGATTGCCAACATTGATGTTGTCAAAATCTGGACCATTAATTTAAAAAAAAGTTTTTAAAATGGATGAATGTGATGTTGCCAAGTGTGAGTCGCCTATCAAGATTGTAAAAATAATTTTAGTTATCCATTAATCAAGTTCATTTATCACTATTCCTTCAGTCATCTCTTGTTGATTAATTTACACTTCAGTGTCATGCACATATTCATGTGAAAAAACAGACACTTCAATGCAAGTCCCCTAATAATAGGGGATGAATTAGAGAGTCAAGGATCAATCAAGGGTGAAAGTGAAGTAAACTTGTGAAATATGCAAAAATTAAACAGGAAGCCTTGATTTTAAACCATTCAAACGGAAGCATACTTCCAGTGAAGAAACATTAATATTACGGATACACATTAAGCAAAGAATCTTATGAAACGTTCAATTGCTAGTGGATTTAGAAGACATGAGTACTACCTCAAGCTTACTGCCATCAGGAAGTGTTTGCCACGAGGGTATCAATTCGACAATGTGATCACTTACACAGAGAAGCCATTCCATCTCTCTTCTCCACATTGATTTCTTTTCAGAAGGCACTGGTTCCAACCTCCACATTTGTCCAAATACAGTGGCTATACAATAAGGTATTGAATAAAGTCAATAATTCATAGCACACAACCACAGAGGACAAATTGTAAATCTTAGAATAACAGAAAAACAAGTCTCATCAAAGCATAAAAAGACTAAAAGCTATTTCTAAAAGGCCGGATAAAGTGCAGGGAGTGAATTATACCAGATAGATTGGTGATGGCATTCGAAATTGCCAATGCTGAGCAAACCCCTTTACCACTTCCAGACATGTCTTCCCCAAGCAACAATTTTGCAAACCTATCTTTCATCGTCTCCATTTCTGTTCAATCCATCAGACACTCAACTCAGAAGGGCACAATTTGATGTAAAACATAAAATTGCATTTCATTTCTTTCCTTTTCCTTTTTCGATGGGGGAACAAGGGGTACATATAACCAAATTTGTATGCCGATGGGCTAGAACTTAATCATTTGAGCAACGAAAATAGAAACTCAAATACGTCAATAAAAGAAAAGAAATTGGAAAACCAAAAACACCAAAACTTACCTGAAAGTTTGGAACCCTGCTTCTTTAAATTGGAATTTTCATCACCAACATCATTCAAATGGGGTTCTCTTTCTTCTTCAGAAACGTCACTTTTCAAACACTTGGTCGTCAGCTGGGCGTTGCTTATAGGCCAACCCAAGAGAGCTGACGAATTATGAGAGCTCGATCCGCTATCAATGCTCGTGCCACTGCTGCTGCTTCTCGACTCAGTAGCAGAGTCGCTACTCGTTGTCTCAGACCCTTCTCTCTTCTTGCTCTTCACAGCCACACCTTCCATTAAAACAACAAAAGCCCCAAAGATAACTATTCCTAACAACTAGAAAATGGGCTCAGCTGATTCTTTTCTGCTTGTAAAACGGTTTTATCAAAGGCCATGAAAAATTCAACTTCAAAGATCTATGTTTACAGTTCTCGAATGGTAAAAAGAAGAATATGACAAAAAAAAAGTTAAGGGTTCGAGTTCGCCGGTTGCTGCAACATAATTGGTTTCCTGGCACAATAATTTTATTCTCTGTAACTCTCTTGTTTCTATGTGTGCATGTATGGCTGGAATTTGATTTTTAAATTTTTTAACACAACTGCCGAGTGCCAAAGAGGCTAACGTCTATTTCCGAACTTTGTAGAAAGTCTCATTCACAAAATAATGAAGGAATATATTGGCCGTAGGGGTAACGGATGTGTCAATGCTTTGACAAGTTACATTTTTTTTGTTTTTTAATCCTCTGTGAATTAAAATTTTAAGAATAATATTCAATAGGATTAGGCCTAATCAACGGGCGAAAATTTTGAAATTGGATGTTAAAGTTTTCAACATCTAGGCCTGGACTTTCAAGGTGCCTTCCTTGAAGTTGAAATAAAAATTAAGGAATAATGCCAACATAGTACGATGTTGAAAGACTTTGTTTAGAGAAGCAATTGATAAAATGCAACTATCATTTAAGTCAGAGTTGTATTCAATACCCTTTGCATTTGCATTGTTACTTGCCTATAATATCATTATACACTTTCACTAAGATAATTTAAGCGATATTTAACATGGATCATATTTTTGTAGTATTGAGTAGAAATGACTTCACATAACTTATCGATGTAATTAATAAGACATTAAATAAATAACTTTTTACTTGGTTTAAATATTATTATTTTATAAAGATTTTACAGATGAGTTTGTTGGATATCATTTAAATGTGAATGTAATAAAGATTTTAAAATGTGTTGGCGACGTCAAGTACTTCAATGGGAAATATTTAATTCATGGCGAATATTGTCCATGCCCAGCTGGCGTGTCGTTATAGAAATCTCATATCATTGTGTCTCTTTCCAGCCATGAACCCCACTTGATGTGAAAGAAAAAAATGTATTATTTGAAGAAAGAATGGCTCACAAACGGAGCCTAAATAAATAACTTTTTCCTTGGTTTAAATATTATTATTTTATAAAGATTTTACAGGTGAGTCTGTTGGATATCATTTAAATGTGAATGTAATAAAGATTTTAAAATGTGTTGGCGACGTCAAGTACTTCAATGGGAAATATTTAATTCATGGCGAATATTGTCCATGCCCAGCTGGCGTGTCGTTATAGAAATCTCATATCAAATAAAGATAAAAACATGGAGTGCTTTATTAGGGTTTGGACTACTTCTTTTAATAAAACTGACATTTTAAGATGGAACCTCAAATCTTAATACCTTCCATCTCTTTTAATGTCGTGGCTATGATAAATTTCACAACATTTAAGAAAAGTTCAAAATGAATGCGACTCTACTATTTCTACATCTCTAAATGTAAAATGTACAATTAGGCTATAAAATAATTGGAGAATATAGGACACGTAGGATATAGCTCATATTTTCTTTTCTTATTTTGAGATTTAATTAAGTTATTTTTTATTTTTTAAATTCTTTCATTTATTTTCTTTTTAGTAGTAGATTGACATCATTCACAACATCAATATCCTTGGACCTAGAGAAATAATTGGAATAGTTGACGGCATTAACGTAAAGTGGGTGAAAATTCAAATTTAATACTAATAATAGTCGTTTTATAATGTGTAATTATGGTCAAAAAAGTGCTAAAAACGCTGCCTAAACAACAAAGTTTATAACATTTCGAACCCTATTTTATAGCAAAGACTATAGTTTTGTCTTAATGCTGACAATTATTATAGAATATAGATTACAAGAATTGTAGAAAATCGAGGCAATTTTTTATATTATAAATTTAAACAAGAACCACCTTGAAATAATAATATTATTCAACATAGGATTATAGTCCGGCCATGTTGGGGGTGACTTTTGTCGCAATTCAGTGGTGTGAAAGGGTGTTAGGAAAATCAATTATTCTAATGGGTGCAACGTTAAAGGATGTCAAAGTTAATGTAAAAGACAATATACATGTAGCATGTTTGTTTAGACAATTGTTAATAAAGTGATGTTATCGTACCCAAGTCAGATCAGATCGGGTCTAACAAACACTCATTCATCCAAAGTGTCCAAAAATCTAGGCTAGATCTTGGGGAATTCAAGAAAAACTAAACTTAGGAAAGAAGTGATTAACATGTGCTTAAATTAGAAATAAGGAAATTGATAATGAAAACTAAAGTGCAAACAATTATAATTGGGGCAGGGCACCAATCGATTCATTAGTATGATGAACAAAATTGAGTGGATGATATACTTTAACATTATATTTGTGTCATCTAACAAGGAGATGGAAAAAGATCTCCCACAATGTACCTTCATACAAAAATGTATATATTCAAAACAATGTTTTGTAGAAAAACTTTCAAGGCGACGTCATAATGAATCTATAATCAAGATACATACACATGCTGAATAAAGGGCACTCGACCTCAAATTCAATAGTCCAAATGGAATTAAAGTTGAAAGATGTAGCCATTTGCTGATTGTAATCCTCAATTGAGGTTAGTCATCCTTCAATGTCAAAGTTGTTGTAAAAAACATGATCTCATGGTCCGTTTGACATGACTTTTGTTTTGACTTTTACTTCCTATAGAAAATATTTTGGAAATGGTTATTTTAATTTTTGTTTGGAAACTAATTTTTAAAAGTATTTCTTATTCTAAAAGTGCTTTTAGAAAAAACCACATTGAACCATCTTCTTCTAAAAGCTCTTTTAATTGACAAAAACACATTCGTAAGATTAGCCGAACTGGTCCAAAAGTTTTTTTGAACCTCAAAAATTCTTTTTGACTTTTCAAAAACCATTTCAAACGGGCTTTTAGATCTAAGGATCCGTTTGATTGTAAGGGTGGAAAAAAAATGAATTTTAGGGAAAGTAATTACCTAAAAATTGTTTTGTAGGGAATTGTTAATTAAGTGCGTTTGATTGATATAATTTTCCATTCGGAATTTTTTTTGAAATTTTGGATCTTGTTGTTCACGTTTGGCCTCCGTTTGCATGAAAATTGTCCATTAAAGTAGATTTTTTTTTACAATTGATTATGAAACATGTTTCCATTGCCAAAAAGTAAAAAAAAACAAAAAAACAAAAAATTTTTTTTTTGCTCAAAATCTATTTTTTTACCATTTTTTCATCAATGTTTAGTGTTCGTTTGTATCAAAATTGTCCATTAAAGTGAAATTTTTTTTTACAATTGGTTATGAAATTTGTTTCCATTGCAAAAATAAAAAAAATCAACGTGCAGCAATGGGAAAAGCTTTTCCCAAAATCTGAGGAAAACAGGCGCGTGAGTGCAGCAGTGGGAAAAAATTTTCTTATCAAAAAAAATCCTATCAAACACTACAAAAAGTGGGAAATGGCCCTAGAAAAACTCACCTATCAAACAGGCCCTTAATGATTGTTTTAGGACAAAATCCGGTATTAGATGTTGGAAGATGAAAAAGAATGAAAATCAAGCAATTAGGACCGAAGGAGGACAATTTTTTGGGAGTCGGGGACCAAATTATCGAGTTTGGAAGTTGAAGGGTCTCAAATGCAATTAGAGGGACATCGGTGATCTAAAGACGATATTCGAGGATCAAAGTGTAAATGAATAAATAGAATAATTAGCACATAATGTCCATACATTTCATTGTTACTATGAAAAACGTCTATACCTTTCATTTCTTAGCATTTTCACCTTTCATTGTAAAAAAAGTCATTTTCACCTATTTTCTCAATAAAAAATTTTGAAATGACGAAAATACAATTTTCTTTAAATTAAACAAAAAAAAAAGAAAAAAATTAATTGCAATTACAGTCCCAATTTTTTTTTAAAAGCGCAAATAAGTCATAAATAAATTATTAAAAGAGTAATTAGCACATAATATCCCTACATTTCACTATTATTGCAAAAAAATCCATAATATCAACTGAATAAATATGATGAATCTTGCGACACGAGGTTCATTTCTTGTGATCGCAAGGTGCTTGATTTTGTAATCAGATTTGTTGACGCCAAAAAAGACGTAGTTAGCGCGTGGTTGAGGATCGTGCAATGGATAACTTCACATTAATTAATTATAGAGGAAATTACAACTAGACCTGCAGCGAAAAAGTTAAAAAAAAAAAAATTATTTCCTAAAAAATCATTTTTTCATCAAAGTTTAGTGTTCGTTTGGCCTTCGTTTGCATTAAAATTGTCCATGAAAGTGAAATTTTTTTAACACTTGGATTAGCCTAGAAAAGTTTGTCAATCAAACATGCATTTTTTTTGAAAAAGTTGGAATTTAATTTCCAATTCCATGGAAAAAAGGTTTAATCAAACAGTGCCTAAATTAAGACAGAAATTTCAGCACACACTTTATTTGACATTGTAACTTTGTTTTAGGATTTTGGTTGGGGTTTCTCAACTAGACACACAGATGCAAGGCATAACGGCTAGTGAATCATAGCCTTTCATTTGAAAATCTAATTGGAGCCGAGCGACATAAAATCAACGTTGTATTATTAAAAAAAAAAATTGTTAAACTTGACTTTTAATATCTTGTGTGTTCTACATTAGACTTTGTTTGTAACTTTGCACCATGTCATGTTAATTTTGATTATAAACATTCCATATAATTAAATTAATAAGATTGACTTCTCTTTAGTAATTTAAATTTTTAGATAAAGTGGTTGCTCGATGGATATATTGATGAAGTTCAAATGAAAAGGAAAAAAAAAAAAAAATTAACTTTGTCTTTGGCATCTATTTCCATCTACTTTTCTTCGACTTCCCCTTTTCTTCTGTCCATCAGTCCATGAATTCAAAATTCCAAAGGGAAATTGTGACATCCATGCTAGAAAAGAAGAAACGGTTTCAAATGAGATG